TGCCACCATGCTCTGATGAGAGCATGTCTTGGGCTGCATAAATTAATTTTCACATTAAAAAAACGTAGCCAACCCACATTCCAGGCTCTTAATCCTGGGGATCACGTATACGCTATTATCTGTATAAGTGTATTCCTAAACCACAACAACTTAGGTTAATACACAGTAGGTTTCTCAATTTCCCATAAAGCTTAGTTAGGAGTTACATTCAGCCTAGTTAGCCTAGCCAGTCCAGTCTAATCCTCACAATACTATGAGTGGGTATCTCTTAGACAACGAATTTCACTCAGCCTATTCACATAATTGTGGGAAAATTCATCCCCTTACTTTTCTTAATAAAGATTTAGTTTATCTTAATATAAGTTGTTGTGGTTTAGAAGCATGTTCATACAGGGTATAAAGTAAACAAAATCCCCATAAGTAAAGTTCTGATTATAGGTCTAGCCTATATTCTATCTTTTTAAAATGTAAAAATTGGTTTATGCAGCTCAAGTCCTGTTTTTAACGGAGCGTGGTGGTCAGTTTGTGGAACCCGTAGGGATAGGCAGGACTTCTTTGTTTAGTCTCCCCTAGTCGCTTGAAGTGTTGGCCTTCGAGGCCTGACAACATGAACTTTGGCTGCCATGGTTTCACCAATCATCCCCTTCTCTAAAGATCGTCTTCAAATGGCAGAACTGGTGGAGCAGACGGAACTGATGAACTGAGGCGACTAATCCGGAAGGCTGAGTGATCGTTTGGCTCATTAATTGTCCTCCTCTTCGATTGGCAACAGTCCTGGCCAGTGAGAGAATCTACATACGCCTCTCATAAACCGTCTTATTCTGTCTTTCGGCCTGGCTTACTCACACGATGGCATTGGCAACGCGTTTATTTTTTCTCTGCCAAGGATACCACAAATGCGACCAGTACGCCTTCGCCTCTGTGTGGATGCCTGGACTGGCAACAGAATGCTGCCCCGAGGAGAGGGGGGCATCGAGATCCGGCCACAGGAGCAGCATTTGCATTCGTGTACCTCGTGGCTGGGTCGTCTGCAAACTTGGCACCGAGCACAAGCCAGGTATGGCGGAGCCGCAAAAATCAGTACCCCATTGCAGCCTGCCCCATGCAAATGCGCCGAGTTAGCTCATCACATGCACTCTGCGAGCATGCACTCTTTGAGGGCAGACAGATATTGGCTCTCCCTACGTCCTTTTGCCCATTTACACGAACTCTGCTGGTTGGACGGGCCGCCAGTTTCGAAACGTTCGGCCTCACCAGCTCTCAGCTGGCCCGACTCATTCGGTTTCACCCGGTTCATATTCATCCGATTCAAGACCTGATCCACTCACACTCGATTAACACGAATCACCGAAGTCACCCGATTCGGCAAATTCTCTCGATTCATTCTACTCGCTGATTCACCCTCTCTTAATTCCCTCGATTTGGCCAATTCAACCGATTCACTTAATTCACCCGATCACTCTTCTGATTCGTTTCGTCCTATACACCCAACTCATCCAGTTCATCTGATTCATCCGTATCACTTGATCTAGATGAATAACTCGATTCACAGGATTCCCCTAGACTAACTCTATTAATTGTCAAGTTTACTTCCATTTCTAGTGAAAGTGCTTGGTGAAGATATTCGAAGGTCGATTCCATCAGAAGACGACGGCGGATTTCTCTTTACCAGCTGTTTCCGAGGTAATCTCCTTTGATATCGATAAAAAAGTGCTAAGCTCTCGTCCGTCATATGATGAACATCATCAGAGCAAGGTATCCACCTTACAACAAAATTAAATCTAACGAGTCAAGAAAACCCACAAATGCTGGTTTCTTTTTTAATTTCTTATCGAGCCATATTTATGTTGTTAAGGTAGAATAATAAGGAGTTTACGCTTAGCGGACGTAAATAATCAAGAACAGGAGTTAGAAAGGCTAAGAACAATCTTAGTTGGGAACAATTACCCGGTAGCATTAATTGTTAACAATTTCAAAATATTGGGAAATAGAGTGAAGGAAAACCATTATTTTGGACAAAACAAGGAATTATACAACTCTTCTTCTTGGTTCCTAATGCCACCATGATGCAAGCTTTCAGGAAAGATAGGCGAATTATTTATGAAATGGAGCATCAGGACAATGTATAAAGAAACAATAATGCATTCCTCCATCATGCATTCTTTTAGATAATCTTCAGACTCCCTCTGCAGACAGGTTGTTATAAGTTTTTTTGCTCATGTGGTAGTGTTTGCTTCCTCAAAATACCCAGGATCTGAGTTGTGAAGTGCTTAGAAGCTAACCTAGGCTGCGGAGTGGTAAATTAATGTGCCTCCAGTTTACGTTAACAACCTGGTTTCGAGTCCCAATGAGGGTGCTGATGAGAGACGATGAAGTGAGCTTGAAGCTACTCTTCAGTACAATCAAGTTCAGATCGGCCGAAATAATAAAACATTTTGGGAGGCAAGTTGAAGTGAAGTTTAAATTGCATCATGAGTCAAATTTGATTAACTATAGACAGATTCAACGATTATTCCTTAAATAACACTAAGCGAACAATGCTATTTGAATTATAATATGAGATGTATTCACCCTATTTCGCTTAAGGTGATGAAGGACTGGTAATACAATTTCCCCACCATTATGAGTAGAGCTGACGTTTCCATTCAATTTCAGAGAGCCCTCCATTCCCAAAAGAAGTTCTCATCCCAGCTGGAGTGGATTGCAATTTCGACCTCGCCTCGGTCTTATCAACACCCCCAGCGGGAGTCGAGCCATGGCAGTGCAGCATGTGAGCCTGACACGATAACTACTCGGCAACATTGCCACGAGTGTCCTTGGGTCACAGAGAAGATGTCACTTTCAAGGAAGGCCATGCCTTTTCGCATATCACATTCTTTGGTGGGATTGACGATGAAGCAAATGTATTTTTGCTATAACAATCGACTACATTTCTTTTTCGTATGGATATTACCGAGTTACTGGTAGTCTCGAAATTCTACTTACATACGAAAAATAAGTAACGTAGTCGATTGTTATAGCAAAAATACGTTTGCTTCATCGACAA